TTTGAAGAGAAATAGGCTCTGAGCTTGGCTTCCCCCACTGAGTCTCTGTGCAACCCTGAGCCTTCTCTCAGCCTTAGTTTTGGGGTCCATGAAAAGTAGCTGTTGTAAGGAACCAAACTCCTGGCAAGAACTGATCTGCTATCCAGTGCTGAGACCCAAACAACAAATGATGTCCATGGGGACCCCTACCCATCCCTCATGCTGTTCACTGGACCTACTTACATCTCCCACCTCATCCTCCCCCTGCCTGGCCAGGTGGTTACCATTCTCCCATCTGACAAATGGGGAAACCAAGGCCTGAGGACAGGGCTGACTTCATGGGTCTGTGACCTATGCAGTTATACAGTGACCATGCTTTGAAGCGCCCTGTACTTGGTTTAATTAATTATCTGCTGTCACCATCTTGAAATTCTTAATAATTTTTTTTTCCCTTTTTGTCTTTTTTCATGTCCAGCAACGGATCGCAACCCTCAGTGTCGCGCCCGTACCGGACCGGGACCGGCAATGGGATCACAACCCTCGGTGTTGCTCCCGCACCTCGCTCAGCCAGTGAGCGGGACCCGGTCTGTACGTGGGATCCAAACCCTCGGCGGGAGCGCCACCACACTCCCAAGCGGCGCACTGTAGCAGTGCGCCACCGGGCCGGCCCCGAAATTCTTAATAATTTTTGAACAAGGGGCTGCACTTTCATTTTGCCCTGAATCCCACAAATTATGTAGTTGATCCTCCTAGGGGGAGGTGGAGCAGAAGCCTGCCCAGGCCTGGACTAGGCTTCCTGCTGCCCAGGGCTGCCTCCCTTGGGTGCCTGCATCTTGGCATGCCAAGACCCAGAGCTTTCAGGATGCATTTGGCATCAAAGCCCTGGCTGCTGCCTGGGAAACCTGAGGAGCACAGTTCCCAGCCGGTGAGGGAGGGAGGACGGTGCAGGCCAACACAACAGTCTGGGGAGCAAGTAAGACAAGACTGTTGGAGCCAGCCCAGCCCTGTGTAACTGGAGCCACTGGTATGGGTCCCAATGCCATGGTCCATCCACCCTTCCGAGAACTCAGCAGGGCCTTCCTTCCCAGCAGGCTACAGTTCCAGAGCCAGGGGACCCACCGCAGACTCACTGCATGACTTTGGGCAATCACTTCCCCTTTCCGAACCTCAGTTTTTCTATACATAACATTGGAATAATAACATCTATCTCACGGGATTCTGGTGAAGATCAAATACACACGACTAGCACAGAGAAGTGGATCACTAAATAGAGTTCTTACTCATTCACTCACAACAAGTATTCGTGGAGGCTGAGCATGTGGCAGGGACAGTGCTAGGTACTGGGCATTTAACTGTGAACAGGATGGACATCGGCTCTATCCTCAAGAAGATCCCCTGTGGAGGGAGAGACAGACATTGACTGTCATGACATTGTGGTGAGTGGTGGGTGCCTGGACTAGGTCTTAGCAGAGGGATGGTGGGGAGCCAGGAGAAGGGGGCCAAGGGCAGAGAAGCAGAAGAGAACATTGCAGGCAGGTAGGGCAGCAAGTGCCAGGCAGGAGGCGACTGAGGGCCCAGCACTTGGGCACGGCTGGGTCAGAGGCTGCAGGGAGGCAGAGAGATGGGAATGCTGCAGCGGCAGGCTGGAGAGCAGGGCTCTATCCTGAGAGTGGTGTAGCCACCGGAGAGTGTTTGGCAGGTGATGGCAGCGAGGGGCGACAGAGATACCACCTTAGCCTGTGCAGGAGAAGCTGAAGCCTGGCCAGGGCAGGGGCTCCAGCGCCAGCATGGATTCTCAGAGGAGAAAGCTTTCTCAGGGGAGATGAGTGAAGTTGAGAGAGGTAAGACGAGAAGGCCTGAGTGAGCCAAACGCCTCTTCGGGGTTGAAGAGGCAGGAAGCCTCCTGATGCATGGGAGAATCTGGGGCTGTGGCTTTGCCCTGGTCCTCCTGACCTGCTGCTGCTAATGGATATCCCCTCCTCCCAGCCACCACCACCACTCCATGGTTCCCTTTTTCGCCTTGTGGGGTCCATTACTGTATTTTGGCCTTCACCATTCGTCTGCCTTGGCTGCCTTATTCCAGGGAGGCTCCCTTGATGCTATTCTACCCTTTCAGACGGGACCTTGTTGTGTGGGGCTTGCTGTGTGATTCACTGGGTCTCAATTTCCTAGTTGAATTAATGATTCTAAATTCTTTTAGTCATGGAATCTTCTATATATTTTCACAAATTCTGATCAGGAAATGTAAATAAATAAAGATATAAAAGCAAAGGTGCTCAAATTGAAAGGGGATGGGGGCTTTCCAGGCAGGCCCAGGAAAGGAGGACTCCCCTGGGAAAATAGAAGCCTTCTGGACTTGATGATCTCTGAAACGCAGTGATGGAAGTGCTGGGGATGGGGGCTTTCCAGGCAGGCCCAGGAAAGGAGGACTCCCCTGGGAAAATAGAAGCCTGCTGGACTTGATGATCTCTGAAACGCAGTGATGGAAGTGCCTGGGGAAGATGTCAGCAGACCTAGACTTCCAATCCCTCGTTAAAGGAAGTACTAAACCCTCAAACCCAGGTAGCTCAGGATGATAGGCAAAACCCTTGAAAAAGAACGCAAGACAAGCCAGCAAGTTAAGAGATTGTTATTACTCCATTTTGCAGAAAAGGAAATCAATGTTCAGAGAGGAGTCACAGGAAAGGTGAGGCAAGACTGGAATCTGAACCAAAGCTGTGGGATTCAAGGACATGGCATTTTCCTCTGCTCCTCAGACCTCACTAAGTCACCTGTTGTGGTAACTCAGACACCGTGTGTCTCAAGGAGGTAGTTTCTTTGGCTGGAAAGAAAGGGAGTTGGATCAGAGCAACGGCAGAGCCCTGCCCAGGCCACTATACAGGTTTGTCTGCTGAAAGCTAAGGCTGGACCTGGGTCTTCGTCTTCGTAGCAAAAGATTTCTTTCTTTTTTTTTTTTTTCCTGGGCTAAACAGCAGTGACAGTAGAAGATTTGAAGGCTTGGAATGGGAGAGGAAGAAGGGGTTAGCTGGGGCTTCAGTGCCCAGGGGGACTTCCCCACACTAGGACCCTAAGGCCTTGGCCCCACAAGTTAGAGCTATGGGCATACCCAGGCCCCTGGAAGCTGCATGGATCAACTCAGACAATAAACAGAGGAAGTTGGACAAGGGGCCTTTGTGTCTCCCAAGCAGAGGTCCCAGGGGGACTGCAGAGGCAGTTCAGTCACATAGGGTTATGTGTCCACTCTGCTCTTGCTCCTGGCAGGGCTGCAGCCAGCACCCTTCCTGAACCTCTCCTAGGGCTAGCAGCCAGGCCCCAGTCAGCTGATGGAGAGCCCAGTGGGGCCCAAGGCCTCAGGGCCCTGGGCAAGCTCCTTGGCCACAGGAGGAGGCCTCCTCCACACTTGTCCAGCCACTGGACCATACAAAGCACTGGGCGGATGGACACCTGGAGGTGGGAGAATGAGTGTGATTGACTCCATTTCACAGAAAAGGAGGCCCTGAGAGGAACTGGAATGGGTCAAGGTCTTCCAGAGTCAGTGCCAAGTGGGCCAGAACCCACACTCCTGATCTCTAGACCAGAAATGAAAAAGGGGGGGAGGAGGGCACTCATCCATCCATCCATTCACACATTCAAATTTTGAGCACCTCCCAGGAGCTCTGGGACAGCAAGAGGAAGAAGGCAGACCTGGTCCCTGCCTTCCTGGGCTCAGTCTAGGAAAGGGATAGACACAGGGACCCTGTCTAGGGAAGGCGATAAGTGTGGGATTGAAAGCAGAGAAGGGAGTTAAGGCAGATCAAGATGAGGGAGCAAAAAGAGTTGGGAAGTCAGAGAACTGCTGGTGAGATGAAGGAATAGGAAGTGGATCATAGGGGAGGCTCACTCGGGCCGCTCCAGGACCCCGAGGGCCTGGCTTTCCTTCCTAGGACAATGGGGAAAGCCGCCCCCGCCCCCATCTCAAGCCAGGCAGGTGCGTGGCGAGCAGGTGTTGCGAGCTGGTCTCTCCCTAGCAGGGCCCTCCAAGGCCGAGCCGGGTGGAGGCGGCGGTTCGGCGCTAAGGTCCCGCAGTGGGCCACTGCGGCCCCGGGCAAACCTTGTAAAACTCCGGCGTCTCTGAAAACGTCTCCTCGCACGCTCCCTTCTCGTGCGAGGGTGGGGCGGGCGGCCTCCGTCTGGCCGGGCGGGAGGACCATCGCCGCCGACCCCTTCCGGCGCAGCACCCGTTGCGGACGCGCTGACCCCGTGGCCGTTTCGCTCGCCGGGCGGTGTCCGGG